GTCCCGGGGGCGCCGGACCGGGTCTGGGGCGAGCGGGGGGAAGCCGCGCGGCCGACTCCCGCCCGCGTGGTCAGCGCGTGGACTCTGCCACCGACAGCCTCGCCCGCGGACGGACATCTTCCTTCCGCGACTGAGGTGGAAGGAGGCGGGAGGGAAGCGCTCTCCCCGGGGAGGGAGCCCGGAATCCGCCCCCTTGCAGGCTGACCGGTTTACCCGGGAAGCGGGCAGGGCCCCGCGCCAGTCTTTTTGGGGAGGGGATTTACTTTCAAGGCCGGAATTACTAAACATAATGGATTCGAATAATAGGTGGTGGGTAGGTGTTGAAAGTGAGGGCGAAAGGCGGCCCTGGGTCGCGGAGGGGGGCGGACGCTGGCCTCCTGGGCCCCCGCGGTCCCACACAAAGAGCCTGCCAGGAGAGCGCCGTCTGCCCAGATTCCGGCCATCGCAGGCCAGATGCCCTGCATTTTTTCCTTGCTTGACTTGTGTCCTCGCGTGTGCTTCTGCCCGGTGGGCAGCGTGGCACAGTTGGAGGGACAGCTGGTGATTTGGAGGGAGGGCCTCGCCCGCTGGGGTGGAGGGGTGTGTCCCACCCCCCACATGCCGGGTGCTGAGGGCCGCTCCGCGCACCGATCATCTTGGTCGGGGGAGCCTTGCTTGGCGAGGTCCGGGGCCCTGGCCCGCTCTGCTAGATCTCCAGGGCCTTGCCCCAAACTGGTGATGGAGGTTGAGCTGTGTATCCGTCCTCGGGCATCTCACCTCACGTGAGAGCTGTTTGCTCGGTTGGCCTGATGCAGCCCTCCACGTCCGCACAGGTCAGGGAGAAGCAGGCTCAGGGGATGTTCTGGGGAAGGGTGGGTGGGTCTTAACTACTCTTTTTTCCATTAGAATTCCCAGTTCATAGCCTCTTGCTTTAATCACAGAGGAAGGAAGAAGGGAGAGGTGGCTGAGGGAGGGAGCGAAGGAAAACCCAAAATTGGAAGGATGCGAAGAGAAGAAAATCGCTAAACTGTCGTGGACAATATTGCCTGACAAAGCAATGGTATTTTGGCTACAGGCAAAGTTGAATCATATTTTAAAAAGGGTGCCTTATTTCTCCTCCGCTTACTATGTACTTCAGTGGAGTCTCCTGGATACTGTCTATGTGGGACATTGGGGGTCCAGACATCATTCAAACTGTCTCAAGGACTCCAGGTGAATAGGGTTAACCTGCTACATTCTCCATGTGATTGGAAATTGCCTGGCAGTGTGTACAGGTAAGATGTAAGTGTGGTCTTCTCATTTTGGGACCCAACCTGGAATAGCATGTAGCTTTGTTGACCTGTGTAAGGCCCCTGCATCCTGGTCACTCAGCCTTCTATCCCTACTGCCCTCACCCAGAGTGCTGCTGCCATATTACCAGAATTCATATACCCAGTCTTCAGAAAGGGCAGGGGGAACCATAGTCACCTCTGAAAGGCATATGCTACCATGTTTCTCTTTCTCAGCGGTTTGTTTGGTAAGGTCACACTAAGTACATTGTTCCAAATGATGCAATGCACAGTGAAAGATCACCTGGAGACCTTAGTTTTGGCCCCAGCCGTGTCACTTTTACTCTTTTTATTTGTTTAGCTCAGGTTGACGCCTGAAGAACACACACAGTTCAAGGAGATCTGAGTTTTTGCTCCTTGCCAGCATCATAAAATTGTAGGTTAAAATGAGGAGTCTCCATTATACCAGTAAGACCTAAGACCAGAGTCCTCTTCAGATTTAGACAGTGAAGGACCTCTTAATGAAAACCAGGGCCAACAAAAGTACTAAAATCTGAGTTTATTCTTGTTCTGAGCCACATTCTATGACACTGTCGTATTTCCACAACAGCTCTTGACAGCATCCCAGTGGCAGTGGATGTCTCACCTTTTCCCTTTCTTCAAGGGTACCGTTCCCCCCTTAATCACTTTAGCTTCCTGCCCTTGCATCGCCTATGTGTCCATGTCTTTCTGGTGCAAAAAGCTTCTTTATGACACATAGTTTTCCATTATCTTTGACACTATTATCAGAGCTGAACAGAGTGGGAATAATGGCACCCCCATCAATGATATGATTCAGCTTTGCTTCTAGTCAAAATACCACTGCTGCATCAGGCAGCCTTGTCCAGGGTAGTTTAGTGATTTTGTTCTCTTCATATAGTTCCATCTTTGGGTATTCCTTTGTTCCTTCCCTCTGCCTTTCTCTGTGATTTCAGGACATCCTTTTGTTCAGGTGCCCAGTACTATATAAGTCTGATTTGAATGCCAGGTGTTTGTCTTTAGGCCATTTTTTAGTTATAGGGAAGCCAGTTTGTGAACCTGCTCGAACAGCCCCCACATTTAAGAGCAATCGTATAAAAGACCCTTCTCTAGCTAAAGAAATAAGAATCTCATTTGCCAAAGGACAGAGTCAACCTTTCATGCAAATGTTGTTTGGAGAATCCAAAGTCAAAGCTAGCCAGTGCCTCTAGCTTTGAGATAGGTGAGTGTTTCTTTTTCTCCCTAGTTTTTGTCTCCTAATTTGCCCACACATATTTTTCATTCACCAGTGAGCCCACTTGGAGCTGAGGAGAGAGCAGCCAAGAGCAGGAGTCAGCTTGCTTTGTGAACTAGACAGCGTGATTGTTTATTTTTAAATCAAAGCATCCTTTCCACCACAAAAGCACGCATCCGTCTTTGCTTCTTAGGGTCCATAGCTCTTGATTTTGGTGGGTGTATGGTAATGAGCAGCCTGCTCCTCCCCTAGAGCAAAAACCCTGCTACCTCCTTTCAGGCTGTGAGTCTTTCTTTGCCTGTCTCCTCCCCCTGCTCCGGCTCCTTCAGCGTCTGGTGCTGATGTTCCCATGCAGAAGGATTGGGGCCCATGGAAAACCCCGGGCTTCTGTGGAAGGGAGGTGACAGACAGCGGGCTCATCCACGAAACCAGATGCATTGGGTGGAACTGTCGTGCTGCTGTCTGCTGTGTCCAGAGACAGCAGTTAAATGTGTCAGACTCGGAAGGAACGTGTGGGGAATAAAAGGTTTTGAGATGGCTTCCTCTCAGTGCTAAGCTTAGCTGTGCATCTCAGCATCTTGCAGCTCTTCTTTTAAAAGCCGATCTGTTTTTGCATCTGGTTACCAAGATCATCATCAGTGGTGCCCACCAAGAAGGTGTAGGAGGTGTGCTAAATTTTCGGTAGTCGGCTTTCTACCTTGCTCTGTGGTGGTGTTGGGTCGTGGTGTGTGTGCAGGCATTTCTGTAGGCCATGAAATGTGCAGACTTGTTGAGTCCTTGGCTTTCCGTGCAGGAGGGCAATAGCAGTATTGTGAATCTGCCGTTAGGCTGAGACCTGCAGCCAGGGTGATCACTCAGGGTGATGTTTTGATGAGCGCTATACCAGTTATTGTTTCTTTTATGTGATAATAATTGAGGCATTCTGAGTTTATTTTGTTCTTGTTCTTTTTTTTTTCCCAGGAAGGCAGTATTACCTGATTTGTGAATGCAGTTATTCACCCACTTTTTTATTTTTAAAAGTTAGGAAGAGGAGAAGTTTGAAAGAGGGATGGGGTTAGCTGAGCCATCCTTATACATGATCTTATTAAGAAAGGTTTCTATTACCATGACCTCTTGGAGCATTACCTTAGAATTTAAAAATTCCTTATGAAAAGGTGTTTCTAACTAAACGTAACTAAATGTGACCCAAACTAAAGATAATCCTTTGGCTTTGGGTGGCATATATTTAAGATATGCCAGGATATGTGTAAATACTGCTAGTTTAAGGATTCTTTATATGTGGAGAGGCAAAAAACAAAAAACAGGGGCGCCTGGGTGGCTCAGTTGTTAAGTGTCTGCCTTCGGCTC